GTTCAGGGGTCAACTGCACTAAGATACAGCAGTACCTGGGTTGTAGTTAAGTACCTAGAATGCTAACATTATTATTAAGTGAGCACCTACTATATGGCAGATATTAGAGAAACAAGGATGAATAAGAGGCTGTCGAGTTCCCATGGAGTTTACAATCTAGTAAGAGTGATAAATATATAAACAAATGAGTGAATTGAAGTGTTACAGAGCCATAGCCTGAAAGAAAGAGAAAATACACAAATTCACACACACAGCAGATGCAGATGTGCATGCACACACACACACACATGGGCAACTACTGGCAACTGGTGAGTTACAAACAAGAAAGTGCTTCTTCTCCTTGGAAGAAAGGAAGCCAGGAAAGGCTTAGAGAACGTCAAAGCCTAACTGAGTCTTACGATATGAATAGGCGCTTGCCAGGCAAGACGGCACCAAGATGTCCAGGCAAGAAAGGAGTGTAAGAAGAGGCATCAAACAACACTTATTCATTTATTCATCCAATAAACATTTATCAAATGCCTCTTATGTGTTTGGCACAGTTTTATGTACCAGGATATAGCAGTAAATGATGCTGATGTTTTTGCTTTCACTGAGCTAACATTCTAACAGAGGAGACTCACGACAAACCACTAAACAAATAGATAAAGCAAAGATCTATGAAGGAGACACAGTGGGGTGTGATGGGGGGTAGTTTGCCCAACCAATGTGTAGAGATTGAGAGATGTCAGCAGAGCTGGAGGGAAACACCATTCCCCCACCCCACACCCCCATTTTCTACACAGAGGACTTTCCCTAAGTTTTCCTGGCCTCTTACTCCATCCACGTTTCCTTCCCAAGGCTGTGGAGTGAGTTACCCAGCCGGGAGCTAAAGCCAGCGGGGCGGTCATGCCTCCCCTTGGGTCATGTTAACTACACTGGGTACAGTGAATGTACCATTAGGTAGAGTTGGAATTTTGAGCACTGGCTTGGGGATGGTGGAAGTGGGGGTGGATTTTGCTTTTTTTCCCCTTTCGTCTTCAAACAGACAGTGACCCGCTTGCAGATTCAAAATTTTCCTGCAAGTGAACTGTTAAAAGGCCCAGAGTGGGGAAGAGGGAGGTGGAAAGACCGTTTTTGGCTCTCAACCCGACATATAATTTCTAACTCAGTTAACTGTTATCAGTCGAAAACGGTGCAGTTTGGCCTCCATCTGCCTTATTATGCTTGTCTTATTTCTCAGTTGGCTGAGAACTTGGGAAGGGAAGAGAACTCTTAAGATAAAAGTTTTTATACAATAAAAGCCTTCCCTCCCCCTACAGACACCTCACAACTAAATTAGGAACCACTATCCTAATCTATCAAACCTGTCACCTTAATGAAAAACCTTCAAATCTCTTACTTAATAGCTTCAAAGACACTGCTAGGTGTTTGACTGAAAAGTCTGGCCCAAATAGTACAATAAGGCAAATTCAATAGAAGTAGCAAATACTGGGGGATGGGGTGGGAAAAAGAATGATTTCAGTGCCAGCGTAAAAGTCTAGGGTACACAGTTCATGGTCGGTAGCCACAAAGAGGAAGATGAGGAAATGTGAGGTCTTCTGATATTCTTACCTTGTGATTTGATATCTACACATTTTTAAAAAAAACATGCTAGAAAAAGAATTTCTTGAATTTATCTTTTCTCCAAAGAATTTCAACGCATTTTTCAATATATTTACACATGTGCTTTCCAACTTCCTTATAAGACAGGATGGGACTAAAATGTTATCATGAAGAAAATATTGATGGCATGGTTACTATCTACAGGGTTCAGTCTCAGCAGTAGAGAAATTTAAAAAAGAAAAAAAAAAAAGATGAAGAATGAGATAGATGGTTCCTGACCTTGCAGGCCTTACCCTCTACCTAGAAAGACAGCTCAGGCCCCCAAGGCATTATGTATCAGAAAAGGAAATCCGAGACAAGTGTCAAATAGATGGCAGACTTTTAGAGATGCTTCAGTTCAGGGGGGGAAAGCACCTGTTGAAATCAAGAGTGATTAAAATGGTTTGTTTCATGGAGGATTTTATAGATGAGAAAACATCAGAAAAATGGTAAAACCCCAACTACATTCATGGGAGCAACTGCACTTAGAAACTGCACCTCTGGTAGAAGCTTCTAGAAGATATGCGATGCGTGTTGTATTTCTTTGTGCAGCAGCCCTGCTGTGCCTGGCATTGCACTCTACACTGGAAGGTGTCTCCTGGATACGTGTAGCACATTTAATGGGTACTCTATTCCCCTAGATCTCACACTGCTCCATTTCACGGCCCACATTCCAGCCAGGAGTGGCTGACCGCACTGTACAGGAAATGCTCTACCCACCGTGCCATTCTCACAGAGCTGCTTCGCCACAGGGATGATGAAAAGCACAGACTCTCCACCTACTTTGCTTTGCTGAGGCAGGGGGTTTCTGCCAGCTCAGCTGGCACACTCAGGGGCCTGCAGAATTTTACTACTGACAATGTCTTCTCCCTCATCAAATCCCAAGCTCGATGTGGACAGGAGGCCAGTGTTAATAGCAGGGACAGACAGTAACAATTACAAAGTCTACATAGTCTACAGGAGGGGAAAGGCAGGCCAGAATAAGGGGGGAAAGAAAGGGGGCATCAGGGCTGGGCTCGTCCTGACCAGGATACACTGGCTGCCGCAGTCATTACATTTTTTTCTGGCTGCGCGGACATGTTGCTATGGAACCAATACATGCCATTACTACTTAGCCTCTAGCAAATAAAATCTCAGCGCTGGCAAGAGCATTTCCCTAGATTTCCCTTAAAGGGACACCATCGATGGTGAGCACGTAGCAGCAGCATTGTTTCAGGGTCCAGCACCACTGCCTGCCATGAAACGGAGCCCAGTGACTCGTGTTTTATAAGGTGTCTAATATGTATGTGGCACGCAGACCTACATGGTACAAACCCAAAGTGTGGGGACCAGCCTCGGAGCTGCTTTTAAGTAAGAAACTCATGGCTTCGGTTTATGTTTAGTTCCCCGCCCCCACACATACACACACCAACTGTTAGACACAAATGGCTTGTCATAATTTGGGTAATGATTTGATGCCTCCTGACTGTCAACTTCAAACGGCTTATGAGTATGATCGTGGCAGGAAACCAAAGTATCCACAAGAGGTCAGGCATCAGTTCAGGTGGTCTTATGTCATCCCTAGACTATCTCTTGCCTTAGACTCCCCTCTACCAGTTTATCCTTAACTGAAAGGAGAGGACAAAGCAGGCATGAGATCTGGCACTGCCCCACTTTCATAAGGCCCTTAGTTGCCCTCTGTTTTAGTCTTACTGACCTCTTGATTCCACAGAGACCCTTAGCTTCCCCAGAGAGCAGCAGATCTCAACGTCCCAAGTCACACTGTGCCGTGCTCTTCGGATACACCTTTTGGACTTTTCTCGGAGGAGAGGAGGAAATGAAAACCCCCAAGTTCACACTTGTAATGAATGCACATTTATGCATACTGAGTATCCGGGGACAGAAGAGATCAATATTAGAGTAATAAGCAGGCGATCCCTCAGTGAAGGGGCAATCTATGTTCTCAGTGCCAGTCAGGGCACTAGCAGAAAGCTGACTGTCTCCGTACCCTGATAAGGAGACATATCGCGTTCCTTAAAAATGACTCTGGTTGTGGCAGAAGAAAAACCCCCATTTGTTAAGATAAGGTGATTCAGTTGAAAAGTAGGATAAAATAATGGTCACAGACTCTCAGTACTACATTTAACCCAATCCCTAGGAGCGATGAAATGTTTTGGACATAAGTGCACTTAGCATATCAGCCTAAATGAACACAATCAGCACACACATCCTCGCAAGAACCACAGGCAGGTCCACCTCTGGGGTTCCCGTGGAGAACTCACACTTCTGTCACACCCCACAACTGAATTCTCGTGGAAAAAAACGTCTAACATTTTTTTCTTTGAATGAAGAAAAATGCCCTCCAAAAGTCTATACAGCAGGCCAAATTCAGACAGCCCTCTGAGACACTGCTGTTAAGCATAGCTCTGCAGGTGCAGACTGCCCCGAGTGGGGGCGTGCGGGTGTGCAGCTGGCCGGGCACCCCTGCAGGTGCACTGTGGCCTCTGGCTGCAACACAGATGGACCACCGGGTCTCGGCACGTGATGCGGCATTGCAAATGCAGTGGTTTGGGAAGGGCGCAAAGGAAAATCTGCCTTCTCAGATGAGTCCGTAATAGAAGTGCTCTGGGTACGCCACTCCACCCACCGCTCCTGGTGGTAGCCAAGTATGATTCCTCGAAAGTGAAACATCTGAACAGTGTCACTCCTACACTTGCCTCAGAGGGATGTTATCATGAGTTTATTGGTATTACGTCAAGTCCATCCCCCTATAACTCTGTATCATCAGAAAGAATTGGGGTTCAAAAGACAGTTGTGTGGGGGCGGGGCGACGGAGGGGTGGGGAGACCATGCAGCTGGGAGTCAAATGCCTCTCACATAATGCTAGTTCTTCTGCTGTCGAAGAAGTCCCCAGACCGGGGATGTGAAGCCCTCTAGGCCTCTCACCTGCCCGTCTGTACACAGGGGTTTTGCCAGATGAGCTCTCAGTTCCCATCTAGTGTTCACATCCTGTTACCCCGTCATGGCATTCATGAAATAGTTCAATAGAAAATGTGAACAAAACAAATGGTTTCCCCTTGCCCATGGCTGTGTTTCTGTATAACTGAAAAAAAAAAAATTCCTCTGTCATCCTCTCCACAAGCTAGACGAGGTAACAGCAGCAATGGTAACAACTCATAAGAGGCAACACATGTGAACAGAAAAAAGGGCAGAAAAATACAAGAGGGAAACCTCCCCCTTTGAAGGGAGGAGATGTGATGAGTAGAAAGAACATTTTGGCTCCAAGTGGGACAAAACTTCTAGAATGTGTCCTATCAAGCACTTTTTCTTAGGGCATCCCAGTCATTGGATAAAATTTTGATGTGGGTAAAAATATATAAAAGAGTCAAAGAATCACTCACCCTATGAAAACAGCAGATTGGTTTCTCTGTACCCAGAAAACGAACTAATTAATTTCTTTGGAAAACTGGAAGAGAAAAAAGAGTTCAACGTTAAGTCTGTTCTGTAAGTCAGCACAGGTATACAGGCCTGGAGACTACAAGAAATCCTAGCACCTGGTGCTTTGGCTCTCATGAGGCACACTCTAAATGTCTGAAGAATGGAGGGCGTACAGTGGTGTGGCTGACTACATGAATTGTTTAAAAAAGAGCTTTGAACAATCATATGCATAACTCCGTTATCACGAGATATGTGAGCCTTATGACAAAGGAATGCATATTGTGGTTGGTGCCTGGGAAATCATTTTTTAGGTGGATCTTTTAAAATGTCACGTCTGCATCGCCATCGTAGGGCTAACTGAAGATGTCTCAATCAGTAACCAGGGTAGCCCATTAGGCACTTGCCCTTTCTCAAATGTACACCCACAACTCCATTCAACCCCAGTGAAGTCAATGACCCCACGGAGACCCGTAATTGGGCTCGGATGGAAACACTGACTTGGCATAGAGGCGCTGGGGGCCACTTATCAGGCCAACTTAGTAATCCCGTGAGGAAGCCACCGTGTCTGAGATAAAGCGTGGGAAAGAACCGAGATGATGTGAATGTTGGAAGTGGAAGCCTGAAAGACAAAGGGAGATAAGGGAGTGACAGCAACAGACTGTGTAATCAACATCACATAAGGAACTACGCTCAAGATCCAAGTTTTAAAAAATTTCCAGAGACTGTTTTAAAGACACCTTTGCAGGTTTAGGAGGGGATGTGAGGCCGAGATGGGCAATTTTCACAGGATCCCAGAGCATTTGGGATTAAGTCTATGAGCTAGCTATAAGATGGCCACTGCTTTTCCTCCTTTTCCCTAAAAGGAAGACAGCGCTCTGCCCACTAGGGCCGTATGGAGAGGCTCCTCCTCAGGACGTCCACTGGCAACAGATTCCTAGACTCAGTTTCTCAGATGCTGAACGCCAGGTCTCACGTCCCAGAGAGCAGTCACATGCTACCCTGTCAGGAGAACAGGGCTACTGCGCTGATGAGACTCTGCCTCTTGAGAAGTTTCTACTCTAATTGAAAACACTACAAGGAAACAATGCAAACTGAAATATGGTACATGCTAGTACCATCTCTGAGCACCTTCTTTTTAAAGCAACACTTTATAATCCACTCACATACATTAACCTTTTCATCCTAATGGCAGACAAGATGTCTACAGTAAGAATTATAAAGACCACAAAACTGATTTCAGAGTCAGACCTGAATATGAATATGAAACCTCGCAGAATGTGAATCTCAGCTCAGTCACATACCAGCTGTGTGATTCAAGTTACATAAACTCTCTGAACCTTCTCTTCATTTGCATAATGGCAATAATAATATCCACTTCACATAATGTTTCCAAGTTCTTATCGTGCAATGCTTGGCACGTAGAAGAGACTTCATAAAAAGAAAAAGCTTTAATGCCATGTGGCACAACATGTGTACATATTTGTAACACTCGAAAAGGAAGACACAGGAGAGGTTTTTATAATTTCATAATTGATCAAAATGTCAGTACTTGTACTGTATGCTCTTTTGCCCAACCTCCCAAAATTAGATGAGACAAATGAGAACAAAATTAAACTGTTTTCTGTGAACAATTAGATAACGTAGATAAGGGGAAAAAACTAAAATAATGCAAATCAGAAAAATCCCACTAATATTCACTATGAAGATTTTGGCTTATATGGTTCCAGGCTTTTTCCTATGCTCAAGCCCACAGAACACATTATACATATACTTAAATAAGTGAAATTATATATGTGCATACAATTTACTCATAACATACTATGATAGTATTCATGTTGCTTTGTAGTCTGATAACATTTTACTTGTTACATTGTAAAACTCTTGATATCAACACATCAATCTCCATCATAATTTAAGACTGCAAGTGTACTGCATTGAAAAAAGGAACCACTAAATATATACCTGTTGAATTTACAGAATCTACCAAAGTATCCCACATTTATGAGAAATGACTACACGTGAGGTAATGTGTGGTTTTTTTCTTCTACATGTCCATCAAGATTGAGAAAGGCTGGTTGTATAAAAGAAAGGTTAACATTAAAGATTGTTTTTGGTTTGAATGGGAGTAGCTTAGAAGAATACGCATACAAACTAGCACTTATACACAGGGAATAACAATATTCAATGAGTTTCCAATGTATTGAAAGGAGACAAAATTTTAAAGACTAGGGCTCATGATGGATAGAGATGCCTATTTCAGGTATGAAATCCCAAGACTGAAGTTAAAGAAGTGTCCCAGTTTTCAGTCCAATAATGGTGGATTTACGTAATGACACCGAGAAAGGTAAACTGAAAACTAAACTCTTGCATTACCCTAAAAATTAGAATCACATTATATTAACTTCAAAACCTAAAAATAACCCCCAAAAAACAGAATTTACTGTTTAGAAGATATATCAATAGTTGGAATGTTTGTGCCATCTCGAAATTTCTAATCAAATGTCATTCTCAAAGAGGATGGTTGGTTTGGTTTGGTATAACATGTGTGATACAGTTTGCTTCAGTTGCATGAGACATCCTTCTCCTCGACTGAGAAAATTATGCCATACCCATAAATGTGGCTGACGAGCAACATTTCAGGAAAATACCACTTCCGAGGGGCGGCTGTGGGAGGGACTGTATCCTCACAATCAGCAAAGAGTGTGGAGCTAATCTCTCCTCCAGTTATGAATGTAACTAACCCTTGCTAAGTATTGCCAACGCCGCTCCTACAAGCAGGCAGGAGGTAGAGGGCTGGCAGGCAGCAGCAGAGAAAGAAAGACAGGACATACTGTGGCAGCAGAGAAATGCCAAACCAGGCACCAGCCAGAAAATCCAGGAGAGATCAAAACTGGAGAAACAAAGTGGAGAAATAAAGGCTTTGATTTATGAAACCAGAATCCACAATGAACAGAACAGGTGATAACCTCTTTGCATGCCACCTCCCAAAAAAAGTTCCCTAAAACTTCGTCCCTTGTCTAGCTTATGCAACATTTAGAGGAAGTGACAGTTTGGGGTGGGGGTCATGCTCTTAGAAGACTTCTGTTCCATGTGAAATAGAATCGACATTAGATAAGAACACAGATCTTAAATTTTAGCATCGGATGGAATCAGAGAAAGCATCTCTTCAACAACTCACACTAGGGACCCCATGCGGAGTGTGGACTGAGCTACTCTTTTTTTTGAGCTACTCTTAATGGATCTCCTTGCTGGTGCAATTCAGGAGCCAGTGTGATGTTCCCATACCTAACAGTGAACTCCTTATAGGAAGAGTTTTGGCTTTGTTCATTTCTTGAGGTCACTGCTTTCTCCATGAGAGAGAACCAGATGATCAAGCTGTGTTGTGTGCTATATAATATCTCTTTTACTCAGTCAAAGCCAAATGATATACATTCTTCAATTTGCTTTCACAGAGACCTTCGTGTCCTTTGATGGTGTACACAGGATGGCCCAGCACACATTCTGCATAGCAGACCTAGCCATCGAAAATTGTGGTTCAGAGTCTAACATCCTCATCCAATTGTGCATCTCTGATAAATATGACCTACCCAGGATAACTGTGCTGACACTATATATTTTCCACTTACAATATATTTCCAAATTGCAGACTTTAAAAAAAATTTTGTCTTGCCATTGTATGAGTATAGTGTCATCCTGAGTAAGTAACGGATTTCTTAATATTAACTACTACCATCTACCGAGTGGCTAATTTGTGGTAAGTTTTTATCTATTATCTCTAATCCTCACAAAACCTCTGCAAAAAATAGGTTCCATTAGCTCCATTATACAGATGAGGAAAACAAGTCTCAAGACAAGTAACCCATTCAAGGTCACATACCCAGTAAGTGTCAAAGCTAGAATTCAAAGCTAGGTCTATCTGGGTTTCACGGCCAAACAGAAAAGCGATGAGAATCCTGGCAACATGCATGTGGGTTTTATATGAAAGCCACAATACATAGCATTCTGTCAAACACAAACAACAAGCACTTCTGTCTCTCAATAAGATCTTTCTTTTTCAGGTTATTTTTTCAGGACCAGGAGGCAAGGATGCTAGAACAAAAGTTATCCAGGGCTTTTGGTGGTAAACTGTGCTTTAGCCATCCAACAGGTGCCAGACATACGTTCTTCAGGCAGAATGGCAGGATCAAAGTGCTGACAGTTGCAGCGACACAAAATGTAGCCTTGGCAAGTCAGTCTAACAATTACTTTGCATCATTCTGATTATGAGCCACAAGCATGCAATCAACAGCGCAGGGACAATCTTAAATTATCTCCATCAGCATTTTTCTTTAGTTATCAAAGCGTGGCAGATGAAGCACGCTCTCATCTGACCTAAACGCAATGTTAATGACCCAGACATAAAGAAAGTGTGGGAACAATAATGGCAGAAGAGCACTGGCCTTGCTGCAGGGGCATCAGTCCTAAGAAACGCATTTTATTTCATCAACTTTCCCATTGATGGCCTCAGAATAAATAAATAACATTTATGTGTTTCTTAGCTGATAAATTTATCCAGTCTAACTCAATTTAAAGAGTTAAGTAAGTTTACAGATTCCCCGGACTTAATATTGTATGTTGCACATTTCTCTACAAGGAGCACTTTTCATAATCCATTACAAATTTTTGTGGATGGCATCGCCCCCACCAGATCATGGCCCAGCTCCAAGAACATGGTGTTTATATCATTCGTCTCCGTATTCCTAACACCTAGCCCAGTTCCTGGCACATATAGTAGACATTCAAAATATGCAGAAATGAATTAATTCTCACTGGACCATCAATAAGAAGGCATGCTTCCTGAGTGCATGAAGGACCCCAAGTTGTTCTGAGAAGTCACTCATACCTCGAAGGGCTATATCTGAATTCCAAAACTTGTCTACAAATTGAAATGATGATTGTAAATATTACCATGAAATTCAGTAGAGATCTGTTCTTAGGGAGTAAAAACATACAAATATAAAAATAGGGGAAATTCTGCCCTCATACTGA